GGCGCCCGAATTTGTCACACCCCGAGGAGCCCGAAGGACTCACACTCAAGGAGGGGCCCGAACGACTCACACCAGGACGAGCGGCCCGAACGACGCACAGAAAACTCCAGAAGCATGCACACACGAACGAACGGCCCGAACGACTCCGAGAACACCCCCCAGAAAACAAGCGGCCCGAACGAGGGAGAGTGGGCCCGCCCTTCAGCCAGAACGTGGGAAGTCGTCGACATCGTCGTCGAGGGAAGGCGAACGCGGCAGGGGGGATGATGATGGTCACCTCCTCCCCCGTGAACCGCCAGCCCCCCCCAAAAAAAGGGTGGGCCGCTCGGGCGTTTATACAAGCGCCAAAATTGAAACATTCCTGCAGGCCGCCTCTGCAGGAATTGAGGCGCAGCCCCTCCCGCAGCCGCGCTGCGGGTGCGCCAGCGGGCGCGGGGGGGCGGCGGTGGCGCCAACGCGCAGTTGGTAGCTGTCCTCCTCCTCCCCCACCATCATAGCGATGATGATAATGATGAGCATCCTACGATGATGAGGCCCTGGGTCCCGTCCCGGAGTCCCCGGGCCCCGCCCTAGGCCGCGGGCCAGGCCCCCTCCCCCCATCGACTCTCAACTGCGTCCGTGTTATATATATATATATAAATATATGTTTATGTATATGTATATATATATATATAATATATATATATATATGTATATATATATACGTCTACACACAATACATATACCAGATATACATATATGCATCTAGTAATCGGCCAGCGGAGCCCCGACGCCGCCCGGAGCCGCCCAGCTGCCAGCAGCCAAGACGACCGCCCGGAGCGAGAGGCAGGGTCGTCGTCGTCGTCGTCGTCTTGGAATACTGACTCTAACACAAAACTTGAGACAGGACCGCAAATGATTCAACATAACACAAAACAACCATGACACCATGACATTTCTGAAACGTGCGACTGAAGGATCGCCAACGGACTGTAGTGTCCATTGTCAGCCTTTATACACTTAGAAACCCTGTGGTAAGCCTTGAAGAAATCTAAAGCTTGAGCCTGACAGCCTTGGTATAGTAGTATAGCCTGAAGATCGTGGATCCCTGCGCCACGGTGGCGGGATAGGCCGCAGGCCCCTGGATATCCTGAGGCAGGATAAGGCCGAAAGCCAGTACATAGACTGTGGCGGGACAGGCCGAAAGTCATGTAGATAGCCTGGAGCTCTTGAATACCTGCAAGCCCTCTCATGACACTTTACCCCTGCAAGGGTTCGGAGGGCCTTAGTCCTGCTGTATTTTTTCTCCGTTTTTTCATAAGACAAGGCGGGTGCAATTCAGCCAACACGTTGCGTAACGCTCGACGCGTCTACTGCGCGCGAGCGCGGCAGACGAAGCATCGGAAGTTCGACTTCCAGGCCTCGCCAAGGGCCCGATCGACCTCCAAAGGAAAATGGCGGGCCCCCTCACCCCCTTGGGAGGGGGGGGGGGGTCAAATTCTGTGCATTTCTTTATGTGCTTTGTTGTTGTGTGTGTATGATTTGTGAGTGTTTCTGTTTTGAATGCGTGTGTATGTGTGTGAGGGGGAGTGAGTGCCCTAATGTCGCAATGTGGTTGGATCGTGCCAATAAAACCTCGAGAGTGGCGCGTCTCTGGGGCATCCCGCGGTGGCCGCCGTGCCTGCATGTCCCCGAGCGTTAGCCGCAACGACGACCTGCTGCCACGAAAGCGGGGCCAATGGAGGAGGGTGTGACATGCATCACAACCAAAAAGTGGCGAGCCCGTAGCCGTGATGGGCGATGTGCACTACTTGCGCAACGCAGCCACATCGTGCCAAAAGCACGATGGGCGCGTGCGTTCCGCTCGCCGTCAAAGTCACCATTGACGTCGTGGTCGTCGTCGTCGTCGTCGTTGTCTCGACGTCGTCGTCGTCCTGTCGTCGTCGTCGTCGTCGTGGTGGGCTGAGCTACGCTCACTGCCCTCGCGGTGTAAGCCTCGCCATCACGTTCCAGGCCATGCGGACCGAAGTGCAGCGCGCCGACCGCACCGTCGAAGCTAAAGGTGGTGCGAGAATGCCGACGACCGACATTCTCCACGCTCGCTCCAAGGAGCCCCCGTGGCGAGCAAGGGTACAAGAGCGCACGGGCGCTTCTCCATGCCAGCCGCAGGAATGTTGCTGGTAGGCGGAAACGATTGCTGGTAGGCGGAGCGAAGCTCACAGCCACACTGAAATACTGTGAGCCAGAATGGCAACAACGACGACGCTGGTCGGGAGAGATCGCTGGACTCGACGACGAACGCCCTCTGTCTTGCCTCCCAACTCCTTCACTCCCTCCTCCTCCTCCGACTCGTCCTCCTTCGGCTCCCCCACAAGGAGGCTGTACAAGGAGGGAGAAGGAAATAGGAGCAGAGGATATATGCGAAGGCAGGCAGACACACGCCTGCACCAAACGACTGTCGGCATGCTTCGCTGGGATTGCTGTTCGGAGATACTACTACTACTACGACTACTACTACTAC